CTGAAACAATTTGGAGGGAGTATCTTTGGGCATCATAAATTACCCATAAGTTACCGTACACAGCTCAAAGTGAAGAAAAGACAATAAACGTCACCATCTAAGTCAAAGAGGACCATGCGATGTCAAAAAGCGATTGAGGAATGCACAAAAATGCAAAACAACAATCAGACGTCACACAAATTCTGAGACAAGGAAGTTGTCTCGAAAACTATGAGATAACTCATAGTTTCCATGACACAGAATGTGTTTCGAAAGATATGAGACAACTCATAGTTTTGGAGACATAGAATGTGTCTCGAAATCTATGAGGGAATTTCACACTTCCGTTGGCAGTTTTTTTAGGTTTTGTGCGGACCACATGGCTTCATAACTGCTAGGGATTATGTGTGAACGTGGGAGGGCCATTACAAATGTAAAATACATCTATAACTACAAAAATAATGGCATTAAAACGTGAGAATGTCAGTTACAGAACTAGCTGACAGAACCCCTTCTTCCGAGACACAAAACGTGTCTCAGAAATAGGGGACAATCAAGTTGGTTTGGTTTTGATCTTATACCTTCAGTAACTATTTCTAGGAACTATAAATGCTTCCCTATCATCCATATACACGATGAGGAAGGCAAAAAATGTAGAGACTTAAGCAATTTGGTGATTTTGAGCAAGAGAAAAAAGTCTTCATTGTTTTCAAGCACTTCTAAGAGCCTTCGGCGTTTCCTCAAGATTTAAGCTTTGACTTGACCTTGAGAAGAGTGTTTTATCTTACTTTGCTAAGATATCTACTTCTGCCTTTGTTTCTAAAATAAAATATCAACCTTAAGCCTTCTTCACGATTCAACTTGGATCTGTGATTCGGTCATCCACGGGCTAACGTACCCCTAGCACAGGCAAAGATCCCACGCAAGCAGCAAATGATAAACGTTCTCTGTGTGTGTTTCTAGGAGGTTATTTGTTTGTAACAAGAGATCTTATAAAAAGGCTTGTTTTTTTAAATTCATTGTATTCGATAAACGATTTGTAATGAGTTCAGCAAATAAAATAATTTCCAACGCAAACACCTATGTCTCCACTCCTCACCCTCGAGGAGAATCTCCACTATCTCAAAAACAACTACACAATCGGTTTTCAACGCTCACCGATAATGTTTACAATCTCACACAATTGTCAATACACAATACTTTTCTCTAAGTGTTGGCCTAGCCCATGTCACATTCCTCAAGTGTTTGGATATACAACCTCTCACTTGGCTTTACTACCAATACCACTCCTCTCGGAATTGACCCCGTCTCTCACCAACCACTCCTCTAAGTGTCCTTGTGATTACAACATGTTCTCTCAACAATTAAGTAGCAATTAGCCCAATTTGCATAAATTAAAATATTAATATTTTCCATGAAAGTAGCAATTAGCCTAATTTTTGGACTCATCCTCAACATTTCATTATAGGCAATATCTGATTTGTTACGTAGCTCATTGCATTCATTGTTATAGGAACGAGAAGTGTATGCATAAGCAACTCTCTTCATAGTTTGCATACATTCATCTCATAAAAGTGGTATAATGCCTTCCTTTGACAAGTTATTCTTAAAATTAGCCAAAAGATGGTGAGTACAATAAGAGTGATATGACCATGGAAAGCATTTCTTCACAAAATTCTATAGTCCATTGTCCCTATCAGAGATTAAAACCAGCTCATCATCTGGAGTATATAGATTTTTATCATTGAAGAGAATGTCTCGAAGGCATTCTAAAAACCATTCCTAATTACTTTTATTCTTTGTCCCGCATATGCAAATTGCTATGGGAAACATTCTCCCGTTTCCATTTAGAGCAGTTGCAGCAAGTAAGGTTCCTTTATAACTATAAAAAAGAAGAGGAATTATGAAACAAAGTATAAATTTTATTATGAAGAATGGTACATTAATGTAAGTTTTGATTAGATTGACCTCTACTATGTCTATAAAAAAGATGTCTACCATCCAAGAACAACATTGGCCTGCATCCCTCTATAAACCCCTTCCAATAAGCATAATAAGATACAAATATTCTTGTAAATCTTCCATCTTCATGCTCTAAGTGAATAATTGATCCCGGATTAGTTTCCATAACTTTATCCTTATGCCATCGGAATTGGTCATATGAATATTTAGTATCATCATATAATTCACGTTGAGCTAGCTCTTTTCCCTACCAAATTCTATGATAATGGATGTCCAAACCAAATTCCATTTTAACCTTTTTCTGAAAATCAATTGGGCAATAAGTGGGTTGTTCCTTCAAGATGGATTTGACATGATCAACGTTCCACTTACGAGATAGCCGTCTATATCCTTCCTTTCCTATGCCTCCTCCCAAACAACTATAAGAACTATAATTTTTTTTACATAGAATTGATCACTATCTCTACGACAGGTGCAATGAACCATCCATTCATAGTTTGAGGCCTTGCATTTTGTTGTCACTCTTTTACGTTCATTTTTTACAAAAACAAAGTTAAACTCTCATGCAATAGAGTAATTATTTAAACTCTGTCGACAATGCTCAACATCATCAAATTCTTGACTAACACTTCTAATTGTATTGTGCCATGCAAGAGGAATCATACTAGAGCTCCCAACTCCCCAAGATATATTTTGCAAAAGACGAAGGATTTTGTGAATAAGAAGCATGTTCTTCACTATAGGGGATGTAAGGATTTCTGCATAGAAAATTGTAAAAGAGTTAAAGAAAGTGAGAACTTTAGAATTGATGGTAAAAATAAAAAAGTATATCAAAAGTGTAAATTACCTTATATGGACAATATTAGATTATTACCCAAATAAAATCTCTCGATTCTTCTTAGCGTTCATAATAACTACATTCTCCTTGCAATTTTGATGTATATTGAACATTATCGAGTCATCATCATCATCATCACATACACACACATAAAGTTTTTGTGTGTAGGGGACTTTGTAAGTCAAGTGCATCATGTTTGCACTACAAGCAATTAGACTTTGCACCGCAACCGTCAAATAATTGTAACTTCCATTGATATTTAATTTTAAAAAGTGATTATTTCCTCTAAATTCCATCAATGCACAATACAATTCTTCATCCATCTATGTTTGTCACCAACAATAAATGAATTTATGAAAAATTTCATAAAAGTAGACAACTAAAATGAAATTTAACTATCAATAAAATGAGTAGTTCAGAAATATTTTCATGAATAAAATGAGAAATTTGATTTTAGTCAAGTACTCATTAATTTCACATGATTATTTCACATTAAATATTTTACATGATTATTTCATATTAATTTCTCATTATTATTCATGAATTCATAAAAATTAATTAAATTTGTTATATTTGATGATATTTTAGTTTATGTGAAATTAATGAGTGGTTGACTAAAATCAAATATAACACAAACTAAAATTTCATCAAATATAACAAATTTAACTAATTTTTATGAATTCATGAATAATAATGTGAAATGATTGTTATGAATAAAATGAGAAATTAATGCTATAAATTTAGTAATTGAGTAAAATGCAAAATTATACATTCAATTGCTAAGAAATTGATGGATATCCACCAAAATTACACCCTACACATATGCAAGTATTGTATTTTGGAAGTTGGGTTTAAAGGAAAGTACAAAAAGATAATTGGGTTTAACGATACAAACAATAGTCATTAGGTTTATAGATAAAGTAGAGAAAAAAATTGGGGCTAGAAATAAAATCCCTTCTTTTTATCAGAGAATAGTGCCAATATGTTAGACCAGCTAGGCATACCAAAGCTAATAGATGAACTACAATAGAGTTTATACAATTTCACTATGTTTATTGCTTAGCAGGTTTTATGGCCTACTTACATTTTGTAAATCCCCCGTCTTTGAGGAATTAAGCTTGAGTTAGTTATTTAGATATAAAAATTGAATATTGGCCTGTCTTGCTCTAGTACTTTTATTAGAGACTTCGAGGGACTATCTGATTTTATTTATTGTATTTTTTCCCGCAATTATACTGTCTTTGCTATTCTGTGCTCATCACTACCACATATTTGCTCTAACGTAACGGTTCAAAACTGTTGCGCTAGCCATGGAACCGTCGCCCTTGAGCAAGTGCGACGGTTCTCTAACCATCTCATATGCTGCCGTTGCCCTACCTCTACCATAACGGTTTTGAACTCTATTACGACGGTTTTTTGAACCGTTGCCCCTGCATCTAACGCAACGGTTTTAAAAGGCAAGCGGGTTTTAAGCTATTGTAACGGTTTTGATTGAGCTATTGCGACGGTTTTTAAGCTACTGCAATGGTTTTTTATAGTTATTACAATAGTTTTAAAAGACCTAACACAACGGTTTTAAAAGGCAACTGGATTTTAAGCCATTGCAACGGTTTTGATTGAGCTATTGTGACGGTTTTTAAGCTAGTGCAGCGGTTTTTTATAGCTATTACAACAGTTTTAAAAGACCTAACGCAACAGTTTGGATTGAGCTATCGCAACAGTTTTGATCGCATTACAGACTTAAACATTTTCTTGGAGGACGAAATCTTCCTATATTTGCGAGACGAGGAAGATTTCGCAGATGAGGATGACAAGTACTCCTCAAACTTAGCCTGATCGAACTCATATTCGATCTCTTCATTAACGATGATCTTGATCGGTTGCGACACCGCGGCCTCGGCAGCGAGGCCGCTGACTCCCACTGTGGTCGCCAGTTTGTTTTCAGCAAAAGTTGAATTTGTTGTCGAATTCATTATATCTTCGGTTGATTACAGTGCAGCGGTTTTTTATAGCTATTACAACAGTTTTAAAAGACCTAACGCAACAGTTTGGATTGAGCTATCGCAACAGTTTTGATCGAGCTATTGCAGCGTTTTTGATTGAGCTATTGCAACAGCTCCGATTGAGTTGTTCTTGGTTCCATACGTCAAAATCATATAGTATTCAATTACCTGGACAATCTTTCTAAGAACATAGACAAGTCAAATTTTAATACACAATATCAAAGTGAAAATGTTGAGCATAATCAACCATAATAATAAGTGCCAATATACATCGGTATAGTATAAAAACTATAAAGTATTAAATCTGCACTACCAACATTTCAACTCAGAAAATATCGTACCGAACTAATATTCAAACAACATCAACATTTGATTACAAAACATGAAACTTCTCGGTCAAAGACTTTATATTCTCTATTTGTTTCCAAAAACTTGTGCCTCAATGTTAAATACTCGCTAGGAACCTGTCAGTATCAATCTCAATCTTGGTTTTCGTCATTTCTGTATCTGTGTAAATTTTCATGAATCAGCATAATTTTTGCAATGATGATAATAAAATTGGGGGAAAAGGCATTGCAATTATTCAAAATAAATAGCTTAACATAAAAGCATCCTCAGAGGACGAATAAATTACTAACAAGTTGGCTGATTGTCAAAGAAAGCTCAAGTAACATTGGTAAATAAGGAGACCATACACAGCTACATGAAATCAGAGATCTTCAAACACATACGCGGCTACATGAATCAGAGAGAAACATCCTGTAATTTTGGGAAGTGATTTATTAATATAAGTGTAAACTTACATAACAAAATCAGAGAATTTCATCCTGAAACTATACATCCTGAAACCATAAACAAAGCATTGCATACATGATATCTATTTCACAATTTCTTTAAATATAACTCTTTTCTTCGTATCCCTAAAAAAAACTTTCATCTAAAAAAGATAACTTTCTCAATGTTTTCTTGAACAGAAAAACATGATATCAGGAAACGTCAACAAATTGAGTAAATCTTTCTGACCCTTGTTAAGATTTTTTTTTACCCCTTTGACCAAATTAAACCATTTGGAGGGTTAAGGAGGGACTAAACTCTCTTAACCCTTCTCTTAAACCCTTGACAACTGAGGCCTAAAAGAACCATCCTCCCATAATCAAATGATTAAGATTTAGAGACAAACCTCAGTTCGGCATTCTTTGTCTGGCACCTCTTGCAAAGCCAAGTTTTCTTTAGTTCATCCTATTCAAACTGCTTGCAAAAGCAATATTAATTTTGAATGATAGAAGTCTAACTACAACACCACCTCCAAAGCTATTAGTAAGGGTTACTTACTACACAATGAAAATGCACTTGCTAATTTCTTGCATTATCTTCAAGCTCTCATGCAGTCTCTCTTCATAAACACGTGTCCCACCAATCTCCTTCAGCAGATCAAGACGTTTAGAATCTTTCATTAAGGTCAGAGATGCTATCTGCCCACCATTACGACTAGTGTTTAGAAGAGATATATGCAACTTAATAAGAGAAAGAATGAATTGCAAAATCAGCCATCTACGAACACACACACACCTTCCCTTGCCGAACAACATAGTAAGGATTGGACCGAGAGAAACCAACACTTTCCAGCAAGTTCATAACTTCTATTTTGCTGCAAAATAATAATAATAATAATAATAATAAATATCACAATACATATTTCAAAAGGGCAGGTGAAAGTAGTATCATAATAGCAGATGTATAAGAAAATCATACGTGACATGCTTCACATCCAAAAAATATTCATCCTTTTTCAGACCAATTGTCCGACGTAGCCACACCTCATCCTTATCAACCTGCAACAAGCACAGAACATGTGTACAATTTCTTTAGACCAACCACGTAATATAAATCTATAACTGTTGAGTTTAGATGATCATGATCATTATAGTTGTTTTTAACTTGTTAATTACGTTCTAATTTGGTTTGAGTACTCTAGTTAAACAAATTAAATAAGAGTTTTGTTAATTTAGATGTTTAAAACCTAGGTGCATAAATCTAGGTGATGAATTTGAATTTCTGTTTAAACTAATCTTTGTTAACTGTTTATGAGTTTTGATTGAGTTTGTCTACGAAACCAAAATTTTGAATTTTGAGAGAAATCTGACAAAATAGCAAAACTGGGAAAAATTGGTCCGGTCGGTCAACCGACCATGGTCGTCAATCGACCGATAGAAGGATTTTTGCTTGTGCATATCGTCGATCAGTTGACCGAAGAGCTATGTCGGTCGACTGATCTGGTCCTGTTTGTAAACCTTGGTTTCTTTTATGTGCGTTTGACTTGCGAACATGTAGTGCGAATCGTACATTGATATACACGCATATTCAGAGGAGTACATGTATTGAGTTTGAGTACACACAAGCCTTTCATTTGGAATAATCAAATAGTTTGCGTCATCACAAGTAACGATTGTCACAATTTACAATATTTGCGGATGCTTGAGTGGGGTTAGTCAGTATACCGCAATGAGACCGCGGATGGACTATACTCTGAGTGCGTTAGTCAGTATTCCGCAATGAGACCGCGATGGACTTCACTTCGTAATGCATCGTTGTTCCCGCACGAATGTGCGCAGAGGTCGATGAACCTATATCTTTGTTCCTGCATGGTTATGCACATAGATCGATATACCTATTAGTCGGTCCACATGATGGTGCGATGAGTTGAAGAATTTCAGTGAGTAATAGTTTGATGAATTTGTTGATAACCTGAGTCGCAGATGATTATTTAGTTTTCTTGATAAAATTCATTGTGGAGGTGCTTCACATTGTGAATACACAGGATTGTATATTGGCATTTGTTTTATCTACTAAGGGTAGTATGAGGAGTTGATGATATTTATGGAGTTGTTGATATGATACGTTCTTGTATTACTTTCCTTTATTATTTTATTCTTAGTTTGGAATTTATATCTAGAAATTCATAACTTAAGACACATGATATATACATGAGGGTTTTCTTATTTGGATTATTTCATTCAACGTACTAGTCTTGTGTTATGTGTTTCTAAATATAAATTCAAATTAGTATAGGGTAAAATGATTTAGGTAGATTATGCTTATGTAGGTAGAGCCTCCATCATACTTAGTAGCCCTTCCCCTGGGGGCAGATGGAGATGATCTTTCTAGCACTCTGACCCTGATGATTTCCCTTCTTTTTAGACAACGGATCAGAGTTTCAAAGAGCCGCAGGTTGACAGACTTTCAGCATAGTCACCGTCGTTTATTTATAGTAGTTTCTGTTCCACAGTTGTTTAGTTATGATTTTAGTCGATTACTAGACCTATATTTCATTTTGAGAGTTGAGAGCCAATGTACTTTTCAGTTGACTCTTGTAGTTGAGATTATTTACCTTTTGTATCAGATTGATGGACATATTTTCTTTTATTTATGTTGAGACTTGATTATCTCTGATGTTGATCATTTATTTCTTATGTTCTATTTTCCTGTTGTCATCTCTTTTATATCTTCTTGTACCTACACTGTTTTATTTGTTTCCATTAGAGATATATTACTTTGATGGTGAAACGTGTTATTCCACAGTATTGATGCATGACAGGTTTGACATCATTGGGTTCACCTTGGACTGTAGCCTTGTGTTAAATCATAGGCGTTACAGCTGTCCTCCATCCCCGTGATGACGCCCTCATTCCTCTCCGACGCCCTGCGCTTCTCCCTCTTTGATGCCCTCCTCACTCGACGACGCACTCCTCCCTTGATGACGACACCCTCCTCCCTCCTCGCGACAATGCCCTCCTCTCTCTCCGATGCCCTATGCTCCTCCCTCTCCGACACCCTCCTCCCTCCCCACGACGATGCCCTCCTCCCTCTATGACGCCCTATGCTTCTCCCTCTAACAATTCGAGATCAAAGTTGTAGAATAATGCTAATAGAATATTCGTGAACATCTATATAAGTAAATGAAGCGACTTTTAATTTATATTACTATTTGAGTCGAATTCGAATACGAACACAGATATCACCATATAAACCGAACTCGAATGTGAACCTTGCACTATTCGTTCAAATTCGATTCGATTCCACCCCTACTTGTCACACATCTAGGGAGCTTAATAGACTATGCGAAATATGTTTCCACACAGAGAGATCATGAAAACAAGAGAAAAGATAGGTTTTAACATCTTTCATACACACTTTTCATCAATTTCATCATTCTAACAAGGATTAAACTAAGTGATCTGATGAAATTTAACATAGATCGTCATTGGAACATGAAACTAACAATTGAAATGCCTTGGAGATAGACTCCTAGAGTTTTTGAGCCATCAAGAAAATAGGCTGAAAGAACGAAAATTCTAGGAAAACGCAAGTGAAGAATCACTCGCCTAAGTGGTAGAATGGTTCTTCCTACTGTTCCTCCACCCTCTCTAGCAAGCCTCTCTTGTAGAAGTCTTGCTCTGGAGTTTTATTGGCAAATAATTTCTTGAGGCTAAAATTTATAAATTCATAAGCTATAACCCATGATTTTTGATCATTTTTAGTTATTCGGACCTATTGGCAAATAATTTTACGGAGTCTAAAATTCATAGTTTTATGAGCTATAACTCACAATTTGTGGCCATTTTTGGTTATTACTACCCATTGATAAATAATTTTATGAAATTCAAAATGAGAGATTTCATGAGGATCCTATGAATTTTGACCATTTTTAGTCATTCTAACCCGTTGATAAAAAATTTCATGGTCGCCAAAACTCATAATTTCCATAAACTATAACACACACATTTTTGTCATTTTTAGTCATTCCAGCCCACTAGAAAATAGTTCATAGAGGCCAAAATTTATGATTTTATGAGTTATAACCCATGATTTTTGGTTATTTTCAGTCGCTAAAGCCATCGAAAAATAATTCCATGGAGGCTAAACTTCACGATTTCATGAGCTATTACTCACGATTTTGGGTTTTTTTAGTCATTTCTACCCATTGACAAATAAATTTGTAGAGTCTAAAGTTTAAAATTTCATGAGCTATAATTTGTAAATTGTGGCCCTTTTTAGTTGTTTCTACTTGTTGGAAAATAATTTCATGGAGTCTAAAATTCATCATTTCATGAGCTAGTTTTAGTCATTCTGAGGCATTGAGAAATAATTTTGTGAATGCTAAAATTTAGAATTTTATGAGCTGTAACCCATGATTTGTGGACATTTTATTTGTTCTGACCTATTCACAAATAATTTTATGAATGTTAAAATTAATATTTTCATGAGCTATATAACACAATTTCTGGCTGTTTTTAGTCGTTTTGAGCCATTGACAAATAAGTTCATGGAGTTAAAGATTCATGATTTCATGAGGTATATCCTACGAATTTTTTGCCATTTTTAATCATTCCGACACATTGACAAATAATTTCATGGTAGATAGGTCAAAATGACAAAATATGTCCAAAATTCATGGGTTATTTGCCTTCATGAAATTATTTGCCACAGGTTGAAATGACAAAAAATGTTCAAAATTTATTGGTTATATATCATGAATTTGTTCATTCATGCCTCCATGTAGTTGTTTGAGAATTGGTTAAACTAATTAAATATAGAAAAAAATTATGAGTTATAGCTCGAAAATTCTTAAATTTAGGCCTCCACTGAGCTATTGGCCAACTGGTCGAAATGACTGAAATGCCAAAAAACATGAGTTATTGTTCACAAAATCATGAATTTTTTCCTCCACAGAATTATTTGTTAATTAGTAGAAATGGCTAAAATGAAATCTAGTCTCTGCATAATTTATTACTAGTGGGTCAAAATGACTAAAAATGGTAAAAAAATCTTGAGTTATAGCTCATGAAAACATAAAATTTTGCCTCTACAGTATTATTCTCCAAGTGGTTAAAATGGTAAAATGGCAAAAATCAAGGGCTATGGTGTAATACCCCAACCCTTGAGAGGGTGATGTGATTAGTATTGATAGATTTGATTGGAATACTCATACCACCAAGATGCATCTTCTTTTCGGGAACCCAACTCTTAGAAACTCCAAAGTTAAGCGTGCTTGGCCTGGAGAAATTCTAGGATGGGTGACAAACCAAAATTTTGAATTTTGAGAGAAATCTGACAAAATAGCAAAACTGGGAAAAATTGGTCCGGTCGGTCAACCGACCATGGTCGTCAATCGACCGATAGAAGGATTTTTGCTTGTGCATATCGTCGATCAGTTGACCGAAGAGCTATGTCGGTCGACTGATCTGGTCCTGTTTGTAAACCTTGGTTTCTTTTATGTGCGTTTGACTTGCGAACATGTAGTGCGAATCGTACATTGATATACACGCATATTCAGAGGAGTACATGTATTGAGTTTGAGTACACACAAGCCTTTCATTTGGAATAATCAAATAGTTTGCGTCATCACAAGTAACGATTGTCACAATTTACAATATTTGCGGATGCTTGAGTGGGGTTAGTCAGTATACCGCAATGAGACCGCGGATGGACTATACTCTGAGTGCGTTAGTCAGTATTCCGCAATGAGACCGCGATGGACTTCACTTCGTAATGCATCGTTGTTCCCGCACGAATGTGCGCAGAGGTCGATGAACCTATATCTTTGTTCCTGCATGGTTATGCACATAGATCGATATACCTATTAGTCGGTCCACATGATGGTGCGATGAGTTGAAGAATTTCAGTGAGTAATAGTTTGATGAATTTGTTGATAACCTGAGTCGCAGATGATTATTTAGTTTTCTTGATAAAATTCATTGTGGAGGTGCTTCACATTGTGAATACACAGGATTGTATATTGGCATTTGTTTTATCTACTAAGGGTAGTATGAGG